CCCCCCCCTTGTTTTCAGAGCTGGTTTGGGGACGGCCCCCTCCGGATGTTGCTGCTACCCTCGATCCACCTGGAGGCCCTAGATCTGTTGGCTGCCCTCATCTTGGCGTAAGTCAGGGATGAGGGAGGGGAGAAGGGGGTTTTTTTGGGGGGGGAGGGCCTGGATCTTCAAAGCAGGCGGCCTCCCCTCCCTCTCTCTCTCTCTTTTCCGCAGCTGCGGCCCCCGCTTGGTGCGTTTCGGGGGAGCCCTCGTCCGCCTCTTCCCGCAGGTGCTGAACACTTGGCGAGCCGGCCAGGAGTTCCCTTCGCCCGGGCTGCAGCGGCCTTACAGGTTGGTGGGGGAGGGTCTCTGGGCCTCGGGCCGCCTCCCACAGGGGGCCCCTACCCACCCCCCCGATCCCTGTCTCCTCAGCGCGGTTCGGGCCCGGCTGTACCAGGTGCTGGATCTGTGGGTCCAAGTGGCCGGAGCGGCCTCGGGGCTCCTTCTGGGGCACAGCAGCCAAAGCGACGCCCTCCTGGGACACTTGATCCAGGACATCAGCCCCCCGAGCGACGCCCTGAAGGTGAGCCCACCCCACCCCCCCTCCCTTCTTCTGCCCTGGAGGGCGGGGCCGCCCTCCCTGACGTGCTCTGCTCTCCCCCTCCCCCTCCCCTTCCCCAGATCCAGCCAAGCCCCGCCTTGGAGGGGAAACCCAGCGCCGCGAAGAAAGCCAAACTCTCTCCGGCGAGCGGCCTGGGCTGCCCGTTCCGCAAGCACGACCCTCAGGCCAACAGCGACGTGTGCCTGGCGGCTCTGCAAGGTGACGTTTTCCGCCCTCGGGAGGGGGGGGGAGGGAGGGGCGCAGGCCAGGCTCCCTCTTCGGTCCCCGCTGGAAGGGGAGCAACCTCGTCCCCCGCTATCTGGGCCAGCCCTTCCCCCTTTGAGCAAACCTCCTCTCTTCTCCAGGCCTGAGCCGGGCCGTCCTCACCTCGGGCAGCCTGATGAGAGAGCAGCTACACACGGTGAGCCAGGCGGGGCGAGGGAGGGCGACGGGAGAGGGAGGGGAGTGCCCCGTGCCGAGGGAGAGGGGGGGAGAGCGCTCTACTCCTCCCGCTGAGAGAGACCCTCCGTCCCCAGAGGCTGCAAGAGCTGGCCATCCCGCTGCTGATCCGGCTGGGCCAGGCCGACCTGCCTCTGGGTTCCCCCTACGCCAGCGCCGGCTGCCGACGCGAACTCTACCGTCTGCTGCTGGCCCTCAGCCTGGCGCCCGCCCCTTCCTGCCCGCCGCCTCTGCACTGCGCCGTCCGGTTGCTGAGCCAGGGCCGGACGGATCCCAACCTCCTGGTGAGCATCCGGTTTCCTCCACCCTGCCTTCTCGCTCTGTCGCGGCGTCAGTGTGGGAACGGAGGAGGAGGAGGGGGGCGGTTTTCCCGAAATAACGGCTCTCCCCCGTGCCGATTCTCCCGCTACCGGACATCCCGCCTCTCTCTCTCTCTCCCGCGCAGGTCTCGTCCTTCTGCACGGAGGCCTCGGTCATCTGCAACGCCCTACTACACCCTCGCGTGCCCTCTCTGCAGATGCCGCTCCCCGGCCCTCCCGCTCACCTGCCGGGCTCCTCGCAGGTCTCCCCGGCGGTGGCGGCGGTGGCCGCAGCGGCTGCCAGCCTGTCCCCCTTCTGCCCGGCCGTCCCAGGGCCTTTCCCCGCCCTCCGGCCGCTCCCTCCGGCCCCCGGGCCTCTCCCGGCTAGCTTGCTGGGCCTCCCCTTGTCGGGGCTGACCGCTCCCCCGCTGCCTCCCCGGCTTCTCCCCGAGGATCCCCTTCCCCCTCCCTCCCCGGGCCCCGGCGAGGCGTCGGCCCTGGGCCCCGGCGCCAAGCTGCGGCGCTCCGTCTTCGTCCATTACGACAAGGAGGAAGAGGAGGACGTGGAGATCTCGCTGGAGAGCGACTCGGACGACAGCGTGGTCATCGTGCCCAAGGGGCAGCTGGGGAAGGCGGCCGTTGC